TGATCTTCTCCAGGCTTCTGCCCCCTTTCCACTGTGCCTGGATGTTCCTAATTTTAGATGACAGCCAAGCTACAATTGCTTCATTTTCATCCCCCTGAAGCTTGGCCCTTGCCAGGGATGGTGGAGTCAGCTCTGGGTTCTCTGGTCAGGCCTCCCCTTCTGCAGCACGGCTAGACCTACCAGGAAGGAAACTATAACAGCATTTGATTCCTCTTATCTTTCTGGCAGTTATTGAAAAATCATAACAGATTCATCTTCTTTTTGAATTCTTAAGAAAGTATTCAACAGTGCTTAGAACTAACATTGCTTCCTGTGGGGAAGAAAAAACTTTTGGTTTGGCTTTGTTGTTTTATCAGCGTCATTTTCAGCATCATTTTTAAGGGTTGTTCACCTGATTGTGTCAAGAACATTTGTAGAAAATAGTAGGGTAGATAATTACTTAAAATCTGCTCTTGAAGAATTTTCACTTGTTTGCATGGTTGTGATGTCCCCCACAACTCTCTTCCTTGGTTCTTTTGCTTTCTTCACATGTAAGCTTTGCTATGCCATGAGGCAGTCAGTGTGAGCTGAAGGCACTAATACATGCTCCCAGAACTTTAAACTGTGTTTAGCCCACTGTTTGCAGATGAGAACATGGGACCCTGGATAAAGTGCTTTAAAATGAATTGCTGATTCCACACAGCATGAATGAACTTCGTATTCCTGACCCACAGGTTATCTGTATCTTTTCTAAATTTGTTTTTATGAGGTAGGGCCTTGCTCTTTAACTCTGGCTGGCCCGGTACTCACTTTATAGGTAGGTTGGCCTTGAACTCAGCAATCTTCCTGTTTCAGCCTTCTGAGTGCTAGGATTACAGGAATTAGGACCCCACACCTAGATCCCCTCCTTTTTATTTCTGTGAGAGTATTGATATCCTAAAAATGAGATTATTTTCATCTGTCTCTGCACTACATTGCCATTTAATGTCTGAAATAAATAAGCTGCCCTTGACCTTCCAGGAAGGCTCATAACTGTTCATCTTCCCCTCACTGCTACAGCCTTAATTCCAGTTCTGTGCTCATTGAAATGCCTGTGAACCATCTGGTTTACTCTTGGTTATATAAGCAACGCCTGTCTTTCTCTCGCTGCCTTTCTGCCTCTACCTCTGCTGCCCACCTCATCCCCGTGTGGGTGTGTCTATCTGTGTTTGTGTATCAAGTGCCTTTGTGGCTTAGGTGGTAGGTAGACAACTCATGTGTCAGCCATAGCAGAGCCTCCTGTCTGGTCTGACAGCTGCAGTAGAACTCTGAGGTAGGGATTTATCTGCTCCACCCTGACCCAACCATGGGTTCCAGGCTCCTAAGCTGTGTGGCCTTCTGCCTCTGGGGAGTAGGTGAGTAGCTGAGTTTCTAGACAAGGAAATATGATCCTGCTTGAGTCCTTTGAGTGTGCCTACTTCTGAAATTTTCCTGAATTCTGATTCCCCCCCCCACAGGCCCCCTAGAGACAGTTGTTTTCCAGACTCCGAGATATCTTGTCACACGGGTGGGTAATAAAGCCTCTCTCAAGTGTGACCAGACTCTGAACCATGATACCATGTACTGGTACAAGCAAGACTCTAAGCAACAGCTGAAGGTTATGTTCAGCTACAACAATAAGCAACTCATTATAAATGAATCAGTTCCAAGTCGTTTCTCACCTCAGTCTCCAGATAAAGCTCATTTGAATCTGCATGTAAAGTTCATAGAACCGGATGACTCTGCTGTATACCTCTGTGCCAGCAGTTAAGACACAGCCAGGCAGAGCCACTGTTTCCCTGTTCATAAACCCAGACAGCCAGGAAGCAGTGGGGGGCAAGTGTTAACCCACACCTGTGGCTCCATGTCCCCAGGGCTTTGCAGGGCCCCAGTGGCATTTCAGTCTATAGTCTAGCATCCTACGACAGTGCACAAGTTGAATCCATTCTGTGCTATGAACATCTGAGTCTTATGGAATTCTGAAGATTAGCCAGAATAGCAGTTTGCATCATAGTCACCTAGACTGCCAACAATGGAAAATCTTGGAGATTTTAACTGAGAGAAGTCACTGCTTGTTATTTTCTGCCATGTTTGTGTTGCCTGCAACATTAGGATGGAAGACAGATGGTTTCTACAAGTATTCGAGGAGTGCAGTTCTAAAGGGCAGAGCACAGTAACTGATTCTAAGACTCCACAAGAAATTCAGACTACCATTAGGGATTTTTGTTTTAAGAGAAAGATATCTGGAGAGTCATGAATGTCCATGGCCACAGGTAAACTAGAAAGAAAAAATGAGGGATAAGGTGTTTGAGTCGGGCTTGTACAGAGAGGAACCCTTGTCATCGGTTAATACAGTTTTCTCCCTGTTCTGTCATCTTTCAACCTTCTCCAAGAGCAGGGAGCAGTAGACACTGGAGGACAGTCTGAGATACAGAGAGGACTTTAGCTATAAATTCCCATGCACTAGTTAATGATTGAGCAGACTGAAGCTACATAATACTGTTCCAGGATCGGAGTCACCTAGGAGTCTAAATGACCTGTATAATATCTGTATACCCAGGGCATCCCCCAAGTTCCCTCAACCAGGGCCAGAGGCAGTTAACAGCCCAAATGACCTCTACTCTATCTGTATGACCAAGACCAGGCTGTATCCCTCCTTAGGCTCTTACGTTGTATTGCTAGCCTGTCTCTAGAACCCATCTTCTTTGAAGAAACTGCATGTACTCTGAGTTGAGTTATGATGTAATTATACTTTCTTGCACACTGGGGATTGTATTATACCAGGAAACTTTTCCCCCAAATTATACTGTGTTTAAATTCATTGGGAATAAATTATCTGTCATCAGGCTCCTCAAAGTTTTATCCAGGTTGACAAAGCCAATCTGAAACAAGTCTTCATTCTCACCTGTTAACAGTTCATTTCTCTGCCTGCCATGACCACCTCCTCAACATATGATCAAATTTGTATTTTGGCAAGATACAACAGTGGTATGGGCTAGGTGGTTGGGGCTCACCAAGAGAAGACATAAGTATTCTGAAAGATATGGTATAAAGCAGTTAATGTGGGCCTTTGGTAGTGATACTGTGTGGATGTTCTGAGTTAGTCACTAATAGAAGTTCTATTCTATCCTAGTGTTTGAATAAAGCATTTCATAGGGACAGGTTCAGCATTGCTCTCTTTCTACTAGGCAGCCCTAGCATGTAGCTGTTATTGTTGCTCACAGACTTTCTGTAGAAACCAAAGGGTGCATACCCATGTACCTTCTATGTAATGAGGTCCAAGTGCCAGAGACCTCTAGCCATACATGTCTGCTGAAATTCTTCTCAGCTCTCCACCCTTCCAGTATGTTCTCCACTTTACCTTCAGGTAGCCCATCCTCTGCACCCACAAATTGAGTAGTGTTCTCTCAAGAGAGATTGATTTATTCAGATTCTGGGGGCTTCTTTTCATCACTGTCTGCCCCAAACTCTAGCGGTCTTGGAATTGTTTTATCCTCAAGCACTATGCACCGTGATTATTTGGTAAAAATACACAACAGTAAATGAATGCTGCAGTTTATTTAGGCGTTGTGAATCACTTCCTTGTGTCCATTTCTACCTTCACATTTTCTAGACTGAAAACAAAAACCCAACATTTTCATAGTGATACATTTTAATAAAGCTAGTACCCAGTAATTAAGCGGTCAAATGCAATATACATTTTATATAAGAAAATAGAAGCAACCATGGTGGACCTCCCCAGTTAGTCTCCATTGGAAGGGTCTGGGAAGTCATGACGAGGCTGGCTTCATTTCTAGCATTTCAGAAAAGGACAGAGCTGGGATTATTCCATCTCCACAGCTCTGGTTGTATAGGCGAGGAATATCACGTATTACACTTATGAAATGATTTAAACACTACAATACAAAATGACTTTCTTAAATATATTAGAATCTTATTCTCTAATTATCTATGGATGTACTTAATTGTCAGGCTAATCTGTGGGTGAACATGGTGTTTTGTTGCTTGCTCCTAGTTATTGGCCACTGAAGACTGAATAAACCAATTTAGCCTATAAGCTCCAAACAAGCTGCATAGTTAATACCCATTTGACCCCTTGCTAAGAATCCTGGTATCACCAGTGTCTGCACAGCAGAAAGCAGAGACTGGTGGGGTGTAAATGGGCCACTTTGGCCACAGGATGGAGCTGTGACCTAAGGATATCTCTGAAGCTGGGGTGGGGAAGGTGAGCCATTGGAAATGGGGGAAGGGGGGAATCTCACCCATCTGGACTCCTCATCAGTTGGAAGCCTCGGTGACGGACATATTGCAAACACTGGCATCCATTTCCAGTTGATTTCCCTTGGTCCAGTGGCAGATGATCTCTCTTCCAGCATCTTATGTGCAGTGTCTTCCCTCTAAGCCTAGACAAGCTCCATATCTTAACAACAGGCACACAGGCCGTCTTGTCCATTTTAAGCTCCCTCCAGTGTCCTGTCCAGTGTCTGGCTTCTGAATGACACCGTAGTCATTCACTTCAAATGATGAGTAAGCATTGAAAGTCATTTAACCATCACTCCAGACACCTCCTTCCACAAAGTTTGGGCAATCAGTCTAAGCATGAACCAAAGCAGCACTTAGAGGGGGCTATCCTTGGAAGGAGATATTTTGAAGGAGAAATGGGCTGTGATAGAGAAGGCCATGGAAGAGGGGGTGGTAGTGAAAATGTGTGCAATGAGACTGTCGCTACAAGCATGGGAACAGTTTCTAGAAATACCTCTGAGGGTTAAAAAGTTGAGTTGGCATTTTTAAAACTTTTGTTCACCCCTGCCCAGTAAATTCACCTTCTAGTACAATCTAAATTGACCGTGAAAGGGCAAACAGAAACATCTGTTGAAGCTGGAGAGGCTAACAGGGTCAGTGACGTCACAGACAACAGCACCAATCATTGCCACGAAGAGCAGACCCAGCTCTCATCAAGGGTACCTTAGCTACACAACGCCCATCCGGGACCTGATTCCACCATGAGATGCGAGCTTCTCTTCTGCATTTTCCTATGTCTCCTGGAGACAGGTGAGTCTTGGATCCTACCAGCTCCTAGATCCAAATCTCTTTAAGCTAAAGCCACCACCTTTTTTTTCTGACCTGTGTCTAAATCTTGCCCTTTCCTTCCCACAGCCCTCACGGACACTAAAATTCTCCAGACACCAAGATATCTGGTCATGGGAAGAGCAAATAATAAGTCTTTGAAATGTGAACAACAACTGGGAAATAATGCTATGTACTGGTATAAACAGAATGCCGGGCAGCCCCCAGAGCTCATGTTTCTCTACAATCTTAAACAACTGATTCTAAACGAGACTGTGCCCAGTCGTTTCTTTCCTGAATGCCCAGACACCTTCCAGCTATTCCTTCACTTGTCTGCCTTGGAGCCAGAAGACTCAGCTGTGTATTTCTGTGCCAGCAGCAAGGACACAGCCCTGCAGATTCATCAGCTGTCTGTACACAAACCACAGTTCAGGAAACAATGGAACAACCAAGGCCTCCATAGAACTTTTAGCTTCTGTAGGGCCCAAGACAGAGTGTTGCAAACCATAACAATATCCTCCAACTCAAGCTACGAATCACCTCTGTATTCCATGGACATATTTAGACGTGGTGCTTCTTTACTGTGCATAGGTCTCCTGCCAACTGATGAAAAGATAAGTGCTTGTGGGTTTCAATTTTCAAAAGAATTTTAATTGTGAGAGAAATTAAGCCTGCTAGAAAATGAATAATTTCAACTAATAATTTACACAGTACCTCGGTACATAGTTAGACCCAGCACAGGACTAGAAAGTGAGACATTTTTCTGAGAGAGGCATCCTGGTCCACATACTCTAGGTCCTGACACTTCAAAGACTCTTCTCCAGTACTCTTGCTACCAGATCCAGGCAGCACTAAGTCTTGAGGAACCAGAGGCTGGGCCACTAAGAAGGATCACAGGTCTGGAGCCAGGTGACAGGACAGAAGACCATAGACTTTGGGGAAATGTGATATATATATATATATATATAATATATATATATATATATATATATATATATATATATATATATGTTCTGTATGTATGGCGTGGCCACACATGTGTGTATGAAGTGTGATTGTAAATGTGTTAGTGTTAACAAAAGAATGCTATTGTGTTGCCTTTAAATCATTAATTGCTGGGGAAGGAGCAACAGTTGTTAAAGTACAGATTACTTGGGAGGGAAATTTCTGCTTTTATTTTCATGGGAGGGTGAAGGGCTGGTATGGTACAAGGCTTCCAGAGTGGTATGGTTTCATAGGGCAGGACCCCTGAAGCAGTGGCCCAGGTGATTCAAATATTTGTTTTCATTTAAATTTGGTTGATTAGAAATGGTAGTGGTCACAGTCAATCAAAACATTGGCTCTGATCAAAATGCTTTGTCTGCATAGATACTTTCCTAAATCCTGCACATAGCAACTGCACTGCCACGCTTGTATTCAATTCAACTAGAAGCCTGTACCCTGTCCATACTCCTGCCTTACTCTTGCCAACATATATCTCTTTTCAGTTTCATCATTTTAAGCCAGAGGTTCTGGATGCTCAGAACCTCTGGCATCCAGCTTTTCAGTGGCCATCAGAAAAAAGAGGAGATCCTATGATTCTTTTCAATTCTTACTCTGGTCTAACTATCTGAACCTGTAAATCAGAGGTGCCTCTGACAGCACATAATTTAATGCACACTGCATCCTTTAGAATATTCATGGGACCACCTTGGGGCATCTCATGCCCATGATGGCACACTGGTTTGTATTCTTGTGAGGACACCCTGGGGACTGTGAGTATAGCACAGACTGTGACATTGTGGACTTCCCTTCTGGTATGCTGACAAAGCCCAGCCATGAGTCCTCTGTCACTGCATGGTCCTATCATGGAATGTACCCTCCTTTGCTGGATAAACTTTGGTATTGTGGGTGTGAGTCTAGAAAGTACTTGGGAAGTTCTCATCTGCCCTTACATGGAGCAGTTCTTAAATTTCTCTTTATTCCCCTTCTTTTGCCTTCTGTCTCCTCCACAGGACACATGGAACCTGGAGTCACATGTTGCAGAAATGTGACAGAATGTCATTTAGAGATGTGACACACTTTCTGGTCATTTTGCCATCTCTTGGTACCAACAGACACCAGAAAAAGGAGTGGAGTTTGTGGCTTCCTTGTATGACTCTTTCAAGGGTCAATACTCAGCATAAATGCCTGGTGGATTGTTCTGCACCCAGAAGATTAAGCCTGTTTATCCAGGAGACTCTGCTGTGTGTCTGGGCTGGCAGCTTAGCTACAGCCCTACAAAGAGGTTTTCTGTCTCAAAAAAAAAAGTATGTTCTTCATTTCTGAGGAGGCAGAGACAGGTGGTCAAGGCTGAAGGTGCTTCCAATGGCAGTAAGAAAGCAACTCCAGTTGACTGCAAGTAGAAAGAAATGGGGATGTGTGGAGTCATACTTGGGAACTGTTCACACTCGAATGTGACTGTGAATACAACAGTGCTGTAAAAGTAGCCACAGTGGACAGAACCACAGAGGAATCTCTGCACCCGTTTGGGGCTACTAGGGCAGAAGTAAAGTTTGGAGGCCATATGTGTTTTCACATTTTTAGACTTGGGTGTATAATTTATCATCTAAAGTGGAGTCCATTTGAAATGAGGAAGATGTTGCTTGTGACTGCCCTTGCGCAACAGACATGCCTTGTAGCATTTGCTATACATGTATACCAGGCAGAGAGCTTTGGGATTCTTTCAGACTCATCGGAGGAAGACGCTTGTCTTGCTCTAGCCATTGAGTGTAAGCCTTTCTGCACCATACGAGACATAGTCATGATCTAAAACGCCTCAGTTCTGAGAATCACTGCTTCTCTCAGTCCATGGCCTTTGTGGTCACTAAGCTGATGGGTGTGAGTCAGCCACAAAGGAAAGTGGAAATTTTTTCATGTGAAGTTCTGTCTCCTGCTTCTTTCTCCCCCTGTATGGATCTAGCATCCTTAACTAGTTAGCCCTGTACCCTTATGCAAGCAACTGTAAAGTTGCTACACATCCATGTACAGATAACTCGGTGTGCAGAAAATGGCAGGCATGCAGGTGATCTGGCAGTGCCCAGAGAGACACAAGTCTTCACCCCAGCTCTGCTCCGTCAAGCTGGTAACTCTGCCTCAGTCTCATGCACTGTTGCCTTCAAGGGTTTTTTGTCTCTGCCCCTTGAATAAGGGAAGAAAAATCTAGTTTTATCTGAATAGAGTTTATTTTTTAATCCCCCCATTCCCCACTCTCCTTTCTTTCCTTTTGGTTCTAATTAAAATGCCACCTCATTTCTTTGACCCATACAGTTACCTGTATTACCATGATGGCCTCTCCTCACTTTGAACCTCGGGCACTAACTAAAAATTAGTCTACTAACTATGACATATAGATGATAGCATCTACCTTAAAGAATCAATGTAAATCACTTATTTATGTGATTTACATAACAATGTAATGTACTGACTATGTTATGTAATGACATCACTTACTTAAAGTGCCAGGTAGATGTTCGGTGTTCCATGAAGGGCAGACATTCTGATTATAACTTTGTCAAGGCTACAGTAGCACCTCCTTAAGTGTATCTGTGCTCCAAAAATATTACACCTTCCAGGAATGGAGAGTGTGCAGGACACGCCTATTCCATTGAGCTTTCTAGAATATAAGACAAGCAAGCACAGAGGATGCTGGAAAGAACTGACTACTTATTGTATTACAAAGCTTCTCTTCAGCAGAAAGGCCTTTTTGACAGCTGGAGACCAGCCACCCACGTGCAGTTTTGATAATCTCTTCTCCTTCAGTATTGGAGAATGCTGCTATATTTCTAGCCTGGGTTGTGTTGGGAGAATAAAGTTATATAGCAAAGGTCTTCCAAAGCCCAGAAAAGCTCTCTAGAACATGAAAAGAGAAAGAGGGTTGCTTAGTTATTTCATAAGCATCACCCAAACTGTGGTATGCATATGGATAATCTGCTGATAAATTCAGTTGAGTAGATAAACTCACTATGCACATGATCTCAAGAGGAACAATTAGAGTCTTCAGTGAAGGGGAGTTAACAGGACCCCTTGTTACCAGTAGTTCATTCTAGAATCACTTGGTGATTGCAGGGGTCATCTGGGATAACTACTTGGCCCTACCTGAAGGAAAATATACAGCTCATATGATTGTGGAATGAGGTAGCTTTGTAACTTGATGCAAAGCAAATATTGTCCATTAAGTTGGACTCTTAAACTAGAGTCTTCCAAGTAAGGGAGGTTCCTATTTGAGTTAAGGTGGGCCCAGAAGTTAGACTGTAACCCTCCCTCAGACAGGGAGATGCTCCTGTCTGTACACATTCTACTATAAGTAGGTGTTAAATGTTTGCCACTCACTGTCTCTAGAAATACTTAGGGCACCTTGGTGGTGATTTGGTTTTCTTGGCAGGCTTTCTATGGCACGTATCTACCCAAACACATCCACACATAGAGAGATTGATTAGATACTGATATATTTTATTGTTTTTGGCCTTCACATTTACCTTATCATATTTTATAACTCTGGTGCATAGTGCTAGTTGTGTCTTTGTATATCACATTCCTTTTTAGGATAGTACATTTATAGAACTTTCAGACTAGCATGGGCAAAGAAGCTGTCATATTAAGGTAAATTCAATAGCTTATAGACAGAACCAAGATAATAGTTTTGAGACCTCTGGAAAAGTAGAGTTGACTTCTTACTTGGTGAATAAATAGAGTAGTCGATATCGCAACCAAGCCAGTCATACTTGATTAGAGCCAGGAGCAAAGGTTTGGCCTCTAGATTATGTGCAATCATGGAAGCAGTAGGGAAAAATATGTTTTGCAGAATTTTTGTTATATTGTTTTGTTATATGTCTCTTCTATATACAAAAATTTCTATTAAAAATATACATTCATCCAGCCTATACTGGAAATAAGTATGGAGATTTCTAAAAATCCTACAAACAAAAATAACAAACAAACAAAAAACCCAGACTAGGACTAGACCTATTATATGACCTTCCATAGTACTCCTTACCACTCCTAACTATTTACACAAGTGATTCTTTTTTTAAAAAAAGTATAATTACTGTTTTTTTAATTAAATTTATTTGTTTATTTTACATACTGGCCATAGCTTCCCCTTCCTCCCTTCTTTCCTCCCATCCCCTTCCTCTACCTCCCCTCTACCTGCAACCCCCACCCCAATCCCTCTTCCTCTGTTTCTGGCAGAAAGAGACAGGTCTCCTAAGGGTTATCAACAGAATATAGCATATAAAGTTCTAGTAGGACTGAGCTTCTCCTGTTATACCTGTTGTATTAAGCCTGGGCAAGGCAACCCAGCTTGAGGAACTGGTTCCCAAAAGTATCACAGAAAGCCTGCCAAGAACAGAATTAATCACCAAGTTGCCTTAAGTATTTCTAGAGACACTGAGTGGCAAACATTTAACACCTACTTATAGTAGAATGTGTACAGACAGGAGTAACTCCCTGTCTGAAGGGAGGGTTACAGTCTAAGTTCTGGGCCCACCTTAACTCAAATAGGAACCTCCTTACTTGGAAGACTCTAGTTTAAGAGTCTAACTTAATGGACAATATTTGCTTTGCATCAAGTTGCAAAGCTACCTCATTTCATAAGCATATAAGTATATATTCCTTCAGGTAGGGCCAAGTAGTTATCCCAGATGACCCCTGCAATCACCAAGTTCTAGAATGAACTACTGGTAACAAGGGGTCCTGTTAACTCCCCTTCACTGAAGACTCTAATTGTTCCTCTTGAGATCATGTGCATAGTGAGTTTATCTACTCAACTGAATTTATCAGAAGATTATCCATACGCATACCACAGTTTGGGCAGCACTTGTGAAATATATTCATCATACCATGTACACATATTTGAAAAATTGAAAATATAAGATTAAAATAAAATTTTAAAATATTGATTTTCAAAGATTTTCTAGTCATTTTTTCCTGTTAGATTTATTGTTATACTATTAGAAATTACAAAATGAGGAAACATAATATTATGCAGATATGATTGTGTGAGTATGGCCCACAAATAAACCATTGTTATTATTTGAGTATAGGGGACCTTCCTTTCCTTCTGCATGAAGGTTAAAGTATCCCAAGTGTTCCTGTGTGTGCTCTGCACAATTGTGTCATAGCACTAGGAATCCGTAGCTAGAAGTGCTATTTACAAGGCAAGCAAACTTGGGGAACAGAAAGGAAAAAGTCCATTCTTGACTGTGTGGATCATGTCTTCCATAAACCTGTCTTTTCTCTAGTTCTAGTTATTCATAAAGGTGAGTGTCTACTGAGGATTCTGCTTCAATTCATTTTATCATTTCATTTCTACAATTGAATTGGAATGGCATTTCATGCATTGCTTCCAGCCTCAGGCTTCTGGTATTCAACATCAGTGCTTCCTCCTCCCCCCCCCCCCCCCCCCCCGCCCCCATTTTTTCCCATTTGGATTTATCGAAGCTCTAAAACTTATTATTAAATTTCTGATGACTATCTTCTCCTGGGTATGCCATGGATACACACAAACTCAAATGCAGAAAATGAAATTAGTCCTACTCCACACTACACAAGACCCACTGAAAACTACCATTGCTTGTATTATGTTATTTGTTCCTTCTTTTGGTAAATATTTTCAATAACCAACTGGATAATGAACAATTTAAAAGATACTTGGGAATAGTGACTCAAGTACTCAATGAGTCAAGTTACAGAAATCGATAACTAAGTCTTCCGAGTTTGTGTTATAGCTTTTAATTGGTACTCTTGCTTAAAGGCAGTAAGACAAATAACCCATTGGTTTCCAAAGGAGCTTCGCACTCTCATGAGGTTTGTAAGATAAACAGATCTCCAAGAGAATGACTTGAACTTCAGAAGTTTAAGGAAAAACACTGCTTAATAACTATCAGAAAGTCTCTGTGGCCGTGGAACACAGAAGTTCATTTTAGATGAGATTCTGTCAAAGTTTAGTTACAGCATTTTTACCTTACGTGGAACTGGTCTTTGATGCATCAGAGCTGAAGATGCTGAATTATAG